ATGTTAGGTTATGACTTTATGTAGTGAATTCATTAATAGCAATTTATGTGGAATTTTTGTTTTGCAAAGCAAACTGTACTGGAAATATACTGGATATGAGTAAATGCTTCCATGCACATGGAGTAGAAGGAAGAGGAAATATTTAGTAGATATTTTTAAAGCTTAGAGACACAACTTAACTTGTCTCATGTAATTTGCTTCAGTATTTGGCAAGAGGCATATATGTTCTGTGAATACAGAGCTATCACATATTAGTAAAAAGATAAATATTCTTATATACTAGAGATAAGTTGGAAAGTTATTAATAGAAAATTAATATAAATACTAGATTAATAAGAATATAAAAACTTGCACATTTAGTAGTGATTTTCAAAATGCAAATTTAAGCAAGGAGATAACCAATGTTGACAAAGGGAGGAATAAGAGCAACACAACACAACTTTGGCAATTAAAGGTTAAAAGTATTAAGCATATGCATGCCCTGTACACAAATATAGCAATGGAAATGACCACAGTTTATGCAACAATATAATTACAAGAACATATTTTACACACAACAAAAAATTGTGTTGCACACAACAAAAAGTGTCCAATAGTAGGAATTTGGTTAAATAAGTTATGGCATTTCTATAAAGGAGATATGCAGCAATTAAAAGTGATGTTGCAATTGCATATTTAATAAAATAATGCTTCTACTACATTACTAAATTTCCAAATTAATATGTTGTATGAAACAGTCCATCTATATAAAAAGATAAGAATAAAGAATGAAAAGGTCTTCATCACATTTTTTCAATAGTGAAAAAATTAACATTGATTATCTCTGGAATGGATATTTTTAATGTTTTTAAATAATTTTGTTGTCAACTTTGTATTTTTCTGTTTTACAAATGTTATACAGGATCATGTATTAATTCAATAAACACATATAAAACTTAAATGCCGTAAACAATATATTTTTATGCTTCAAATGTTCATTTCTTTCTGAACCCTTATCCAGCTGGTAGTGATTTCTGTTTTCTTGAAGCTCCATCACATTTTGCTCCTATCACACATTTAGGAGTTAATCTATGTAATCTTGTACTAAACCTACTGGTCAACACACTTATTTTCCTTTGTAGAGTTTCCCTTTCTGAACTCAAGGCCACACATATTTCTTATACTTCATAGAGTATATGAAATATGTGGGTAGAATGATTTGTACAATGATTATTTAAGGTGAATATTTACTAAAATTTGCCAGGCAGTACTGTTAAGGCTTGGGGTTGATGGAAACCTGACACTATCTTTATTTCATCTAGTGTGAGATAAATCAAGAAAAGAGAGAACTATAAAATGTTGTTTATAAGTACATGGACTGGTAACTCAGGAAGGAACCAAACCCAGACTTTAGGGGCTCAGCAAAAGGTTTTCAGAGGAAATATATAAAGGAATTGATAAATGGATAATGAATTGGGGAAAATATGGTGACTGTGAAGTGTGATAAAAGTTTCAGGGAAAGGGAAGGCCAACTACAAAGCTTATAATTGACCAAGGGCAAAGAACTTTAGAAAATTGAAAGTAGTTCCTGACCTGGGGAAATAAAACCTTCGAGGTGAACTGAGGCTGGACCATAAAGACTCTCATAAGCTTTCTTTACTTCTGCCCATTCTTTAAACAGTTGAATGTTAGTTAATATTGTATAAATTAAATTCCTTTAGTTTGGTTAAATCGTTTTAGAAAAGTAGTTCTTAAATTTCTTATTTTTCATTAAGAAATAGACTACACTGGAAAATAAAAAAAATAAGGTGTATCCTATTTTTCTATCCGGAAGTTGAGACTTCAAATTTAAAAGATTCATAGTTTTTAATATTTTTATTTGCATTTGCTCTTGGGAGGAAATTATGGATATAAACCATTTATGATGCTTCTCGTTTAGCTGGAAATTACTCAGGAAACACTTCATCAGAGTTAAGTCCAATTTACAATAACTATTTTAATGGTCATTTCAGTTTTTTATTTTAAATATACAGGTGACTCTTGAACAACACAGGTTTGAACTGCATTGTTCCACTTATACACAGACTTTCTTTTGCCACTGCCACTCCTGAGACAAAATGACCAATCTCTCCCCTTCCTCCTCCTCAGCATACTTAACATAAAGAAAAGACTTGAAACCAACCTAAATGTCCATCAATGATAGACTGGATAAAGAAAATGTGGCACATATACACCATGGAATACTATGCAGCCATAAAAAAGAATGCGTTCATGTCCTTTGCAGGGACATGAATAAAGCTGGAAACCATCATTCTCAGCAAACTGACACAAGAACAGAAAACTAAACACTGCATGTTCTCACTCATAAGTGGGTGTTGAACAATGAGAACACATGGACACAGGGAGGGGAACTTCATACACCGGGGGGCTTGTTGGGTGTTGGGGGTCTAGGTGATGGATAGCAGGGGGTGGAGTAACAGGAGAGGGATAGCATTAAGAGAAATACCTCATGTTGATGACAGGGGAATGGATGCAGCAAACCACCATGGCAAATGTATACCGATGTAACAAACCTGCACGTTCTACACATGTACCCCAGAACTTAAAGTATAGTAATAAAAAATAAAAATAAAAAATAAATTAAAAAGGGAATTAAACTTTCTCCCAACTAAAGAAAACATGAAAAAACAGATGATGAGAATAAAGACATTTATGATGATCTACTTCCACAATGCAATATCATTTCTCTACCCTATGATTTTCTTGGTATTTTCTTTACTCTAGCTTACTTTATTGTATAAGTAGCGCACATAATATATATAACATACATAATACATGTTTATCAACTATTTATGTTATCAGTAGGGCATCCAGTCAACAGCAGACTATTAGTAATAAAGTCTTGGGGGAGCCAAAAGTTATAGGTGAGTTTTTGACTGTGTTTGGGGGTCAGCATTCCTAATTCCCATGTTGTTCGAGGGGTTATTGTATTCTGAGTTGTCTTTGAGCTTAAGTCATAATCCAGGTACAGTGAAAAACATTGGTATTTATATTTAAAAATAATATAGATAAGACTTATTAAAAATTATATATTTTCCTACATGTTATTTAGGAAGAACTTAAGATGGAATTATGTAAGAAATATGTAAGACTTTTAAATTTGACCTGGCATCAGAATCTAGTGTATTAGAAAGGAAAATGTGTAAATAGAATGAAGCAAACTATTCAGACTGTTTAAAATCATGCATAAAAAGTTATACTTGTTACTTTTTTGCCCGAAAACAGCAATAAAGCAATACGACTTTTTAATATTTTACCTATTGCTAAAATTTATCTCTTTCTCCTATATTTTATTACACTATATAAGATAGGAGATTTGGGAAACCTAGTAATTATCAGAAATAATATGGCTTATGAACAAAATATATAATTTAGAAATGGAATAAAGAATGAATATTATTTGCAAGTTTTTGTTTGAATTTGCCATCATGTATGCCTTTTTTGTCGTATTTTGTTCTTTTCTAGTATTAGGATAGGTCAAAATGTAAGAGATGCTTAGGAATTTATAACTGAAAAACAAACAGATTTTGAAGAAAATATATTCCAGATATTCCATTTGGTATTTATAAAACATCAAACTCATGTAATTTCATAATTATGAAAACTTCTTAAGAAATAGAGTTAGAAAAGAAGACATACAAGTAGCCAACAAACATATAAAAACACTCAATATCATTAATCATCAGATAAATGTAATTAAAACCACAGTGAGATACCATCTCACATCAGTCAGAATGACTATTATTAAACAGTAGAAAAGACAACAGATGTTGGCAAGGGCACAGAGAAAAGGGAACACTTATACGCTATCGGTGGGAATGTAAATTAGTACAACCTCTATGGAAGGCAGTATGAGGATTTCTCAAAGAACTAAAACTAGAACTAGCATTTAACTCTGCCATCTCACTACTAAGTACCTACCCAAAGGAAAATAAAGTATTATATCAATATCAAAATAATGCCTTCACTCATGTTTTTATCACAACATTACTCATAATAGCAAGTCATGAAATGAATCTAAGTGTCCATCAGTGGATGACTGGATAAGTAAAATGTATATACACACCATTAAATACTGTGCAGTCATAAAAAAGAATAAGCTAATGTCTTTTGTAGCAACATAAATGGAACTGGAGACCACTATCCCAAGTGAAATAACTCAGAAACAAAAACTTAAATTGATTATGTCCTCACTTGTAAGTGAAAGCTAAACAATGGGTACATGTGGACAAGTAAGGAAATAACAGACATTAGGGACTCCAAAACGGAATAGAGTAGTAGAGGGTAAAGTTTGAAAAATTACCCACTGGGTTCAATGTTCACTATTTAGGTGATGGGAACACTGGAAACCCAAACCTCTCTATTACATAATATACCCATGTAATGAAATTGTATATGTTCTCCCTGAATCTATAAAAATAAAAAATATTAAATTAAAAAATAAAGTAGTGGCTTAAGCTTTGTATCTTTAGTAAGCACTAATGCTTATAGATCTCCTGAGAAATTACCTGGGGGAAACAGAAGAAAGTGGGAAGGAAGAAAAGGGGAGGGAGGGAACGAAGGAAGGAGAGGAAAGAAAAGAAGGAAATAAAAGGGAAGAGAGGGAAGGAAGGAAGGAAGGTAGGTAGGGAGGGAGGGAGGGAGAGAAGGAGGAACAGAAGGAAGGAATGAGCTGAAAAAGAGTAAGCTCAGGGTCTTGTTGCTTGGGAGAAAAATCTAAAGTCTAGTCTGGATGCTAGCTCAAAAGTCTGCTATGCTAGCTTTCAAGTCTGATATGAATCACTGCTCCTCAGTTGAAAATCTATTAAAAGTAGCAGCAAGGTTAATAAAGAGCAAGTTAAATCTCTTGAGAAAAATTCAAGCTGACACTGAAATGTGTGCTGTCACAATTTTGCTCTGTACACTTAGACATGCTGCTATCTGCTAGTGTTGGGGAATGGGAGGAGCACAAACTGACTCACAGTTCGAGATGTTGGAGGAGCTGAAGGACTTGTTAGGGAAACCATCTCCTGGATTGCTAATCGGAGCTTTAAGCGATGCAGTGGATTGCTGATTCCAATTTCTCTCTGGATCTCAGTGTCAGATAAAGCAGACATGATGGCACCGCTCTTCACATTGGCTCGGCAGGCTGCCACATACCATGCAGGCATTCCTAACCAAAGCTGTTAGATAGGAAAAAAAATAACAAATTATAATAATAGTTCTCATTTTAGTGTCTCTTATGCTAGGAATTATTTTATGTATCTTACATACATGACCTCAACCCATGAGATAAACTGTTATCATTATTTTCCCCAGAGGAGTTAGATGCACAGAGAAATTCAATGATGTATTTAAAAACACCAGTGAGGCTGTGACAGAAACAACATTTGGATCTGAGACATGGTAGCTCCAGAGACTCTATTTTAATTAAGTCATATGACTAGTGATAAAAGTAATGGCTACATGACACCAAGATCCCCTTTGTATGTAGGGACCAGAACAGCTACAAGCTGCATTTGGTAAAGTACTCAATTAATGTTTATTTAATGAATGACTTCAATTTATAATTTTCCTTTGGAATTCTAAGTGAAGAGAAATTCTGTCACAGAAGAGACAGCTGTGCCTGCTCCAGCCATGTGATTTTGATCAAAGCGTGCAGTGTAGCTAAGCCACATTTCCACCTACCTTCCTATACCATGTGAAAGATGTGTGACTTAATTAGATGCTATATATAGAAATGCCTTTTGGAGAGTGATGTACTAAGAGGTTAAAACTCGAATCATTGAAAAACTAGCTAAACAAAGTAACAAAATTAATTATGCATCAGAAATTAGAGATTTCAAGGCTTTCATGCCTATAATCCCAGCACTTTGGGAAGCCAAGGAGGGAGGATCTCTTGAGGTCAGGAGTTTGAGACCAGCCTGGCAAACATGGTGAAACATCGTCTCTACCAAAAATGCAAAAATTAGCTGGGCATGGTGGCGGGAATCTACAACTCCAGCTACTCGGGAGGCTGAGGCAGGAGAATCACCTGAACCTGAGCAGGGGAGGTTGCAGTTAGCTGATATCACACTTTTGCACTCTAGTCTGGGGACAGAATGCAAAGCTTGGGGATTTTGCCTCGAAAAAAATTAATAAAATAAATAAAAAGAAAAAATAAATAATAAAAAGAAAGAAATTAGAGATTTCAATTTTTCAAATTTGCTGTGAGACTACTGAAAGACAATTAAACCATTAAACCAGTGGTGCAATGCACACAGCACAGGTCTGGGGCACATCTTAAGCACTGGGTGAATACCAACTCACAGGCATTATATTTCAGCATCTGAATAACATGCACTTACAAAAGGAATTTCCTCCATCATTTGTTATGAGTAAGAAGTAGGCAACGGAAGAAAAAATAGCAGTTTAAATATTTGTTTTTGAATGTCCAAAAGATTATATTTTTTTTTTTGCTATTTGTTGAAATAAACAGATTAAACAAAGGAGAGAATTGTGAGAGTGAGAAAAAGTAAGTGAGATAAAGAAGAAAAAATACAAGGCCACTATCTCTGGATCACAAATCAGAAGACCTGAGCTCTAATTCCCTCTCAGTCATTGGTGAGTCGTGTAGCCCATTTAAACTTCAGCCATATATTCTTCATTTATTAAATAAAGGAATTAAGTTTGATTATATTTGAGGGATCAAGTTAGCTTCCAAGATGATCTCTATCTCATGATATCCATTCCCTTGTATAATCTCCTTCCTTTGAAGGTAGGCTTGGTCCAGTGATTTATTTCTAACAAATAGCTGATGATAAAAGTGATGGCATGTCACTTTCCAGTTTAGGACTTGATAGTCCTCTCTTGCTCTCTTTTTCTCTCTCTCACTCTGGAGTAAGTCAGATGTAAGTAGCCCTATGGAGAGTCCCATACGACAAGGAAATAATGTTTCTGGCCAGCAGCCATCAGGAAACTGAATCATGACCCTGACCACATGAATGAGCATGGAAGTGTATTCTCCCAAGTCCACTCTTGAGATGACTGCTGCCCTACCTGATACCTCGATTGCAACCCTGTGAGAGACTGAGCAGAGGCCATCACAAAGCTATTCCCAGACTCCTGACCCACAGAAATCATGAGTTCATAAATACCAAATTTGGGGGGTAATTTTTAAACAGCAATAGATAACCAGTACGAACATTCTTGAGTTTAAAAATTCTATAATATTGAAAGACTACTTGTCTCTTTTGAGAAAAAAAAAAAAAAAAAAAGCAAACAAACTCTTTGAGTCAGTGTGGACTGCATTGTGATTGAGATGAGAAAGGAGTGGGGAGATCTAAGGACAGTGCATGACTATACAGATTATGCTTTCTTCCAGCAGGTTAGGCACAAAGAACTGACCTTACACTGACAGGTACATTATATATGACAGAAGATGGAACTTGACTAATTAGTTTATAGACTCAAACTGTTCACAATAACTAAACATCTAAACATGTCTTCTTTGGACCCTAATGATTTTTTTACCCGTATCTTCTAAGATATTTGGATTTCCACTCTAGTTAACATTATCTAAATGCCTGCCAATACATTGCTACCAATGTCATCCATAGTTAGACCTTAAACAGTCTTTGATGTGGATAAATGGTGTGTGAAGTATGGAATTCTTGCCTACACAAAATTCTTAACAGGCTGTGCACTCAAGGAGGAGGGAAAGAAAATGAAGTTAAAGCTTTCATTCATTGGATCACCCAGTTCATTCATCTTGTTTATTCCATTTTATAATTTAAGTTGCATTAGGAATCACATTATAGGCAATTTCTGTGTACTCAGAATAGGTTTAATTAGCATAGACTTCACTGTCTGTCATCTCCTATCACCTTAATGTCAGTAAATTTTTTTTTTTTTTTTTTTTTTTTTTTCTGAAGGATCTGTTTGTCACTTGCCAAAATAGCAGTGAACTATCTGTCAAACTGCAGCTCGTTTTGTCGGAGCAAACTGAACAAAGAACTGCTATCATTTCTGAGGTGTGATTTCTTAAGCATTTTGTCTAGTGATTGATTTTTAAAATATAGTAATTTTAAAGACATGGTTGAAAGAAGCAGCTTTGATCACTAATATCTGATGGCTAATATGCTAAATTTCCCTGACTGATGTGAAAGAATAAAGTAAAAGCAAAATAGAGGATTTTTTTTAGTCAGTCCAAGAAAAAATGCAAAGCATGTTTTTAAATCTATCTATATAAGTCCATTTTTAAAACTAAAATGGGCTTTAATGTTTCTTATTAATTATTTACTTAGCTCAAGCTATAATAAAATGAAGGTAGATAATTTTATAATCCAAGACCATTTAAAACAATGTGTATAATTACCTCTGCCAGGCAAGCAAAAGCTGAATTATTATTTGCCTCAACACAGGCATATCCTAGCAGCTACTAGCAGCTCACATAGAGAACTGAATAGAATGGGGAGAAAACACTATTGTTAAGTGGCACAGAAGAGCCCTTTGTAGTCAAATATATAGTTCCCTCACTGTCAAAGTTGGTTTCTGCTGCCCTCCACCTAGTTCAGATATTCCCTTGTTTTTCCAGAACACTATGTTGTACAGGAAATATTGAAAATAGTTCTCTTATTGTAGCATTCAGTTTGGACACAGAAGGGAATAAAGTGTAAGTCTTCTGTTTTATCCCAAGTGTCTAAACCTAGCTGGTTCCTAGTCTTTAGAGAATTAGGTTCAGGAATTAAATTACAGGCAAAGGAATGGCTCTGAATACATCTAGGTGGTCTTACTATCTTGGATTACAGACGTGTTGAATATGAAGAGGGTCTTCTCTGTAACCTGCTAATGAGGAAAGACCCTGGCCTATTTGATGGTAATAGATGTTTTCTTGCAACAACAAAAACTGGTTTCTTCTGCTGCTCTAGAAATGAAGAGGGTGTGATTTAGAAACACTTCCTTTTACCCTGCTGGATGCTTTCTTCTGCTATAATCACAAAACATGTCAGAGTAAAATCCCAAACTTATTCCCTAGTAAGCAAATAGTCCCTTATGAACAATTCTAGACTAAGGAGATATTGTGATTTCAGAAACTTGTCTTTACCTGTTTCAAAACAAACAAACAAACAAATTATCAAATTAGTAGTGATTGATTTAGAAGCCTTCTGGTTTCATTCTCTTACCTCTAGCCATGCAACCACAGTCGGCCCATCCCACTGGGCAAAAGGTAACCCCTTTCTCCGAGCTTCTTCAAGAAGTTCATGCCTGAAGTATATAGCAAAGATTATTAGGGATGTAGAAAATATGGCTGGATTACTTTTAATGAAAATGTTTTAAAATAACCAATCATCCTTTACAGGATGTTTATGCTATAATACAGAATAACGGAATTCCTTTTTCCTTTGAGTAATACACACAAATCACCCATTGATTTTATTAGGAATAAAGCATTGACATAGAAAAGTAATTTTCCCCAACATTTATTCATAAAAATTAGAACATTAAGTGCTAATGGAATAAGAAGTGGAATTATAGTATCAGCAAATACCTTATCCCTTTAATGAGAAAATGGCCCAGATGTTCATATTCAAGCATGCATTATGGGTTCTAAACGTGGCTCCATCCATCTGTCCTGCTCTCTTTGCCTTACTATCTCCATGGCAAAGAAAATGCTTATATAGAGAGACAGAAGATAAATGTGGTCCTTTTAGTCACATTCTAGTGATGTACTTGATTTTAGTATGCCCTGTGGGTCCAGGGGTCTATCATAGAAGTTAGTTATTTGCCTGGATTATAAAACTACATCTGATTTGAAGAAACCTCCAAGGTAAATTAATTTCTAACACTAGAAAGCAGTGTAGGGTGTTAAATTCAATGGCATACTTGTTTTTATCTATAATCACTACTGTTTTAATGAAATTACAATACCTTAGTAACAATAAATGATTGTTTTGATAACAAAAAGATTCAAAAGAGCCCTGAAAATGCATCTATAATTTCACTGACCCTCTTACTGATTTTTAGAATTGACATCCACTTACAATACCAATTTGAGATGACTCATTGCTGAGATAGTAGGTATGTGCTTTTATTGAAACTCAAATTGCTATATACTTGGCCAGGACTATACTGGAAAATACATTCTGTTTACTTTAGTTTGCCTTGGTCTTACACACAGATGATAAAACCATAGTATAATAATTGCTTTATTTTAAAGGTGTATATTTCATGCTTAGGAATATTTCATAAATATAATTTACAAACTCCCAAATGGATAATTTGATTATTTTCTACTATTAATCAATCACTTATTGAGGTAGACTATATTAATACATTAAGATATATAATGAATAAAATGCCTTTCAACACAGGGTTTTCTGTGTTTATAATAGATGGTACCAAAAATTCATTCAAAAGAAACAAAAGGAGAAAATAAAAAATTTAAGTTATAGTGGCTGAAGAGACATAAATCTACTACTGTTTCATTTGAGGGATAGCAGTGTTAAGTTTTGCTTGTAAGCTATTTAGCACCTGGGAAGAGGGACAGCGATACCCGTGCTCCAAATCTAAAAAGTAGAGGCACTTCCGCACCTGGCATGCTGTATCATCACTCATTCCCTCAGGTCTACAGTGACGTTTCTTTACTAAAAACCACTTTCGAATAGCTTAGTCTCACTGAGACAGATATATTTATAGAAATGGATTGAAGGATCCAAAAAGAGAAACCTATCAGGTACTTATTGAACACCTGTTGTGAGCTGAGACTTATGCTTGGTGTAGAAAGTAGATATGGGTCCAATTTCCCAGGATATCCCCTCTTAGATGGACAAAACAAACACAAGAAACTGTCCAAGAATACAATAAAACAATACATAAACAACTGCTAAAATGCAAACTTGGTGATGTACATTCTGAAGTATGTCATTTTGGAAAAGGGGTTAATAGCCATTGAAGGCATTGTGAAGGCATTATGGCAATGGAGATGGCTTTGAAGGGCAGGAAAAAGGTGAGGATGGCATTCCAAGCCAGATAAGTACTAATGAGGGAAAGTATGGAAATTAACATGAAATATATGAAATAAAACTTAGGGTAGGCCTTCACAGAGCTAAAGCATGTTTTATGAGTTGTAACGTTAAATCCAATAGAGAAAGGAACACTAGGAACACTTCTAGTTATGTCATAGGCTAGTGGCATTAACAGGGAAGAAACAAATACAGATTTACAACTGGTTTTTGCTTCACATAGTAAAAAAGCAAGTAAATATGTACTAATAACCTAGGAAGCACATAACATTCTCACAAATGAATTATATGAGTTGTACAAAAGCTCGTTTTAAATATTAGAACACTTTAATTTTGAAACTTCTGACTAGTTCCCTGATAAAAATCCCACTAGAAAGGCCAGAGTGATCCTGTTGAGTCTGATCCTGTAACTTCTTTGCTCAGAAATCTCCAATCACTTTCTGTCTCACTGGGAATAAAAGCCAAAGCAGCTGCTACAATCTATCCCACCCTCCTCATCTCTCAGACTAACTCCCACCTCAGTCAGCAACACTGTCCCCTTGCTGTTCTTTGGAAACAACCCAGACCTCTTTTCTGCCTCAGGATCTTTGCAGCTCATCTGGAATGCTCTTCCTCTCTATCTCCACATAGCTAACTTTCTCAGCTACTTTAAATCTTTACTTAAATATTACCTGTTCTCTGAACATCTCTTCCCCTTCTCCCTGAAAACCCCACCAGGAATTTCTTATCCCTATTTTTTGTTTTATTTTCCTCCAAGGTATTGTTCTTCTAACACAGTATATTATTTACCCTTTATTCTGTCATCTTCCAATAGAATATAAACTCAAGGAGGATTTGTGTTTTCATATATTCTGTTCAGAGATGAATTTGAATTCTAGAACAAGGTCAGGCACATAAGAGGTACTAAATAAATGTTAAACAAAATGCCAATCAGTGTTTATACTTAGATACTTCTTATTTCAGTAAATTGTGTCCTATAATGTTTGTTTTTGTAGTCCAAGTAGCTTTATCTAGTTTACCTTACAACCATGTACAACTTTTTATGTTTTAAAAACAATTTTTTTCTTGTATCCTGGCTCCCCTTGAGATTTTTATTTCCCACTTTCTCACAATAGTACTGATTCTACCTGATTCCAAGAGTCTGATCTGGTTTGGGATTCCTGGTGAGAATCTGGTTAAGAGGCAACCCAATGTGCTCAAATAGTTCTATTCTATGAACAGAAATACTGATCATACAATTGCTTGGGAAAATATTGAGCAATCTGGCCACTGACAATATTTTCTTTGCTTTTGTTTTGTTTAAATGACAAATTCTAGTAACAGGATGACTTAAATAATCGTATTCTAAGAAAATGAGATAAGGGAGCTCAAACCCTTTGGACTCCAACTGTTAAGGCTAAATCTCTAGCGTCTGTCTTACGGCTGACATACTTGAGACTGTGGAGAAACTGGTCAAATGGGAGGGATGGCTGGGTTTTACACCAGGACTGTGTACTACATGACAGTAACTCCAGATGTGCTTTTCCTTAATCTGACACAAGTATCAATTACATAAAAAAGCACTGACATTTCCAAAGCAATACTGCATTTATTATTCTCAATTATAAAATAATCTGCACCATACAAAATTTATAAGAGGCATATATCTGGGCATGTTGGCTGGAGAGAGAAACAATGCTAGAAAAATAAAGCAATGTGGGCAATGCTATAATAGTTGGAAATCACTGAATTTAATATATGACGAGTTGCTAACAGATTATTAAGTGTAGCATTAATTATATAAGGGCATGCTTGTTATCATCAAGTTTTAGAGCTACTGCCAGAAAAAAAAACAGTGATCTGAACTATTTAAGAAATCCTAAATGACAAATTGATTTGGCACAAACAAGCCTTCTGGATATACTGGTATTCTCCGTTCAACCTGCCAATGTATGGATAGGGATTTAGTCTGCAATGGATTTTCTTTGAAGCCAGAATTCAACTTTTTTAATGGTCAAGAGACAATTCTTCTAGAAAAAGAATGTGATCACCTACCGCAGTACCAACTTAACTCTGAAAATTACTCTCTTTCTCTGTAGGCCTGAAGGATAATTTTACTGTGTTTTTAAAAATAATTTCAGACAATCAAATACTTGACCATCTTTGACCAAAGGATCACTTGTACATCACTAAATTTGAGTGCATGCATTTCAGTTTTAAGATTCAGAATAGATTTTAGAGGATATCAGCAGTATTTCCTTTTAGAGGAAGTATCAGGCATGGAGTTGTTATCACCTGTGTCAAAACATAAACAAGAAAAGTACTAATCGCAAGAGTCCGTTATTTTAAATCAGTACAACTTCTGAATCATTGTGCATTTTCAAGAAACTGCAATAAAGCATGATGTTAATATCCTCCATAGGCCTCAGGATCTCCTATTATTGATGTCAACAAGTTACTGTGACTAGAAAGTGACATTTCAGTAGGCCCAACGTGTGGTGAGCATTCACATCTGTGAATAATTTGCAAGCCCATATCTAAATGTGCAGAGGGAAGCCTGCCCTTGCTATGCCTGAACTGAGGACAGGAGCAAACAAAGGGTGTGCAGTCAAGAAATGACTAGACTCAAGCATTTCTAGATAGAAGATCAAGAGGATCTAAAAAATGTAAATAAATCAAGAGCATTTGCCAGGCGTGTGATTTCGGACTTTTAATCCAAACTAATTAAGCAGGCACAACTTTGCTTAATGACTAAATCCAAATGGAAATGCCCGAATCTTCATTTTTAGGTTTTAAGTCTCTCCTTAACCATTGTAGTTGTGGTCTAATTGGTTTGTTAGTAGTGGGCTCTGGAACCTGTCTCTTGCAATTTCAGGCCATCACATGCCTCCCTGCCTTATCTCCCCACCCACTTTGTTTTGATTCTCATGATTCAGCAAAAATGCTTCCTTTCTACAGTTATCCTTCTCTTGCCCTGGAGGCAATATTTACCACTTTTTATACATAGACCCCATAGTACTAAGCATTTTTCCCTATAGTATCTTTTACGTTTTATTGAATTTGTTGGTTCACAAGTTGTGCTCCCCTGCTCCATGGGCCTGAGAGCAGAGACTCTATGCTCTGGTTGAGTTGATAAAGGGGTCAGTCATCTGATTTTTATAGATCTACTATGTGCCAACTTTTGTCTTCAGCAAGCAAAGAATAAAGCCAAGTGAATCTCTGACCTCAAAGACCGTACATTACAGTGAGGAGGAAAGATCTGTA